ATGCTAGAACATGGCATGTGGAGCCATTTTGCTCGGCATGCTCCAGCCGGTCCAGGCTCTGGGCAGCTGCTGCTGGCCACGGAGCCCAGACTGCTCACAGCAGGTGGCCAAGAGGCTGCACACCCTGCTGCAAGCAGCATGGGCTCCATGGCAGGCAGCAACTGCATAGAGCTCTGACAGGCAGCTGAGAGGTTGCAAACGATAGCAGGGAAGAGGCTGGGGCAGTGCAGTCCTCGTCCGTCCCACCCGCTCACCGAAGATGCTGCCTCCAGCCTGGACCCCAGCACAGTTGTTTGCAGCCTGGCTGCTGCCCGCTGTGAGCCTGGGCTGCACGTGCACCTTAGGGTGCATGGCGGGGAAAGGGACAGGGCAGCACAACCCCAGCCCCTAGGATCGGACACCTCACAGCTCCCCTCCACCCCTGCCTGCCCCTGGCATGCCAAGTCAAGGCATGGGTTGAGGTTGGGGTATTTTTGGAACTTGCCAAAAACATTGCCAACCCCCACACTGTGGTTTCCTATTTAAAATCTCTGGGTTTAATCTTGTGAATTATGTTTGACACCGAATAGTGTTAATGATGTGTAGCAATCCTTGGCACACCTGAAAGGATCTCAAGGCACCACAGGGTGCTGCAGCTCCCTAGTTAAGAATCACCAATCTAGCCGCATAGCAGTTCTGTGCATAAAACATTATAGGCATGTATACAAACAAAAAAAGGATCAAAGGTAAATCACCTTTAATGAGCTGGGGGGGGGGGGGGGGCGCGGAAGCTCTGCTGCATAAAGTACATGGGGTTCTGCAGGGTATGAGCAGAGAGGAAGGGAGGAGCGGGGAATGGCTGCATAGTACCGATGCTGGTCCTATGGAAGACATTATTCTTCTCCAGCCCTGCAGAAAACTTAGGTACTCCATGCAATATTTTGAGAATTCTATTGTCTGGCTTTGCTTAGTGTCCTGTCCTGTGTCCTAAGGAAGGACTAGATTGCCTAACGGCACAGCTATAGAATACATAGGCGCATGGACCTAGACAAATGTAGTGAGGAAATCTATCCAAGCTGCTATATTTCTCCTTAAAAAAAATATAATCTTCTCCTTCATCATGCCTGGGACACCATTTAGATCAAAGGGGTTTGAGGGAAGGACAACCCTTTGGGAACTCTACTCTTAGAACGTTATTGGGCTATTATTCTATTTCTTAGGGGGCAATCAGAAGCAAGAGAAGTATATTTACATACTAGGGCTCACAGGTAAAGTGCTGAGGATGAACAGAACTGGAAAGAAGAGTCCTTTTAAAGAAAATGCACTGGGCAGTGACTGTTTCCTCCTTAGACAGGAGAGGAGTTAGAACCCATTTGCCTTGTTAAAGGCTAATAGAAACCAAAGTCTCTCCTCCTTTACCTCTTCAAAACGCAGGGGAAAAAACCTACCCCAATAAGCTAACGTTCAAGGAATAAAAGAACATAAAGAAATACCGAACACTCACATGCAAAGAATATTTTACTTAACTGAAGCCTCATTTGTAGCAGAAACAAGTCAAAATGAGAAATGCACTAAAAAGGAGTGCAGATTCCTGAACCAAGAAATGGGTTAAGCAGATATTAAACATTAACACCAAATATCTTGAATGGAAGATTCCATGGGTTCCTGTAATTCAAGATTAGATTGTACTTGGTGCCAAAAAATAAAAAAATAAAAATAAGGGAACTACAACAACTCTTTTTCTCTCCTTGCATTCATGGTTAGTTTTTGGGCAAGGCTTCCAATCTTTGAACTTAAGGCAGTGGAGATCTTGCATTTCCAAAACCACTCATCTGTTTGAGTATAATTCAAGGTTTAAGTAAAATAGTTCAGCATTTAAGGATTATAAAATACTTAAAAAACAAACAAACAATTCCTTCATTATTATAAACATATTCTCTTTTACACTCCCTCACACAACACCCCACTGGACCTGGGTTTGAATTAATAAATGTAAACCAAACTTACTTTGTAAGTTTCCATCCCTTTTGCCTCTCTTTGCCTTTTTTTTTTTATTCTGCCAGATACCCGCAGAATAGGATACCAAAGTGAGAACATTGGTCCCACAGGATTTAAAGCAGCAGAATCAAGTCAAGTTTCTGCTGAATGGAACTAAAGAACAGAAACTATCAGAAACTGCAAGATTCCTAGCACTGAATATTTAGCAATTATATATTAAGCATGAAAAAAAGAGGGGGGGGGGAGGGGGACTTTTTCTCTTCATTGTATTGTGCTCAGACAACTGCAAGATGAGAGATTTTAATACCATTTTACTTTTAAGTTACTGAAACAAAAAGAGAGTGTGCTCTAGAGATTGGTACATATTTATGACTTCTTCTTCTCAGCTTTGTTAGTCAGTGAGAAACCAGTAAAGCAAAGCTGATGCAATTTCTTCCTCCTTAATAAAATGGTAAACAGCACCACCCAATGTTCATCAGTTTTTCTTCTTTAATAACTTAAACATAGTGTTTGGGAATGTGTTTAACTGCACTACTCATTTAGCTTTCATGGTCACTGACAGATTTTTTTTTTGCTAGCATCAAGTCTCCCCTTTGCCTTTCAGAATGGGGTGCAATAGTTCTACCATCTATCACCAGCCGTATGCAATTCTTCATAAAGCAGGAAGCAGTCACCACTTGAATACAAGAATTATATCACTGCATGTCTGACCTAAAGGCTTAACATTCTCTGATGGAAACTTAGGAAGGCATCATTGTCTTCAGACATTCCCTGAGATGTCAGTCTAAACAGGGGTCATATCAACTAGCGGCCCCTGGGCTTCAGGTGACATTTGGCAGCAGGTAGAAGTGTCAGCTATGACTGGGTCCTATCACCAACCTGCTTCTCACCCTAACTGGGTCACTTTAGCCCACAGCCTTAAAAAAAAAAAAAAAAAAAAAAAGTTGCCAACTGCTGATCTAACGAGACTCTCCACAATTGCCTTGACCTTCAAGCAATAAGGAGTCCTTACAAGCTGCTGCTCCCATCACTTGGCAAAAAAAGAAGAAAAAAAAAAAAAAGCTTTGTAATTTAGCTGAAATCTGGAGGTAGAGTCTTCAGTTAACAGTAGTCCCCATCTCATCTCATACTAAAGGTTTGTCCTTCCCTCAGAAGCCCTTTGATCTAAATGGATAAGGAGGATCTTGCCTCAGGCAGGGTGTTGGACTAGATGACCTCTGGAGGTCCCTTCCAACCCTACTGCAAGATTCTGACGATTCCAATGATAGATTCTCAAAGCATTGTCTAATATTCCTGCTTTACTCTAATGGCAGACCATTGAAACATTTCTCCACTCAACAGACCAATAAGCAGATAAGCTTACAGTATTCAAAGTAAAGCATCGCCACATGCCACACATCTTTAAGATGGAGATAAAAATACTTTGAACCCTTGAAAAATATTGTCCTCAAAATAAAGAAAAACTTGGCCAGATTATGAAAATTAAAGGCTAGGGTTTTTTTTTTGTGGGGGGGGGGGGGGGGGCTGGACAGAGAAAGTGACAGACAGACTTTGCTGAAGACCGAACCAGTGTCCAAATTTGTACATTCTAGTTTGCTAAAAGGATGAATTAAGTAAGAACATCCAAACAACTGGAATTGCCAAATGTACCTATGCCAGGACCATCTGACAGTTTTTACTAACCAACTAAAGTTTAGTCTTCGCAGTGCAGGGCACAGCAAAAACCAAAGTATCATTGGGCCTACTATTGTACAAGAAAATGCTTGCAGGGAACTATTCACAGGAAAATGTATATTAATAACAGCTTGAAGTTGCCAAATGTTTAAGGGGAAGGTGATCCCAACACCCCCCCACCCCCATCTCAACACACATTGGTATGAAATCAGAGTCCCACTGAAATCAATGCCAAAACTTGATGTCTAAATACCCTTTCCTAAGGCAAAGGGAAAGCGCTGTGCAGTGTTTTACTTTGCTTGTTGTTAGCTTCTCATTCATACAAGCAGCAGCATCAAGTATAATTCTGAAAACCTCTTTGGTTGGATGCATCCAAGTAGTTCCATGCAGTGAATATGTAGTTCTATTTAAATGAAATCTGGGCCAAAGTGTGTGCGTGTGTGTGTACACACACACACACACACACACTTATGCTGGGCAAGTAACCAAGGACCTCCTCTGTTATCCACAGGGGATTTAAACCCCCCCTTACCTTTTCCTCTATTAAAATTGAATCACGACATATTGAATACATTATACTTCTCATTTTGTCTGAAATCAGTGGGTACTTACTATTAATCTAATGGCTTTAAGAATGCAAAGTCAGGAAAAAATGAAGTCTCAGATTAACAGAGAAGGGATGCAGCAAGGAGCAGTCAACTATTTAGACTAGGCTGCCTGCTTATACTATATGGCACTATAAGATGCTTACTATACATAAGTAAAAAAAAAAAAAAATTAAAGTCTGAGGGTGAAGTAATGATTTGAAACTCGTATAAAGTTGGTTAAAGATTCAACTGTAACACACTTGCTGAACAGAACTGAGTTAAGGGAGGTATTCAGCAATAAAGAGATACAGGATTATACAACTTTTAATTAAAGGTTCTCCACACACTTGATACATTAAAAAAAAAAACCAACCAACAAACTTAACCTGTATACGGTGCTTCTCTCCCCCCTCCACTTATTTTATCATATTGAACACTGGATATTCTCAATTTCTTTGATATCAAAATCAGAAAACATTATACTGAAATGCCACCTATTTCCACAACTACTAAAGTTACTTTATCATAAAGACAGTCCATCACCAAGTGTTTGCAGTCTAAATGAAACTATCCAGTTGCGAGTTGTTACGGAAAAACCTTGACTAAAAGAAGTTAAAAAAAATAGATTAGTTTTGTTAATATTAAAGTAATGTATAACGTATTTGCAAGAATATACCGTAAGGCAGTAAAATTATTCTAATTATTTATTTCCAACATATAGTGCCATATATTTGACTTGTGAGGGAATAAGACTGACAAGGATTTCAGAACACTTTTCTTTAATACAATATAATATGCACATAAGTTGGCAGAAATAACTTTGAAAGGTTTTCTCCTCCTGCAAAGTGTTTCCATTCAATTTTAGATCAATCCTAGGCTGAGGCAAGTGGTAGTCTATCAGTTTGCAAATCCTCAGGTCTGTTTAGCAGAAACTGAACTAATTGAAGCAGAACTTCATCATTAAAGCCTTTTATATTATTTTCTTCCACTGCTTCATATAATGGCTTACTATCTGTTCCCCAACAGATATTCTTCCGAGGGTTATTTTTATCAGCTTCAACTGTAAGCGCTAAGGTATTCAGCTGGTAACAAAAGAAAGCAAAATATTGTCCATCAGTGACCACAGCCTGTGATACAAAGGGACGGGTTACATCAGCCTCACTCCAGAAGCCTGCAAAATGAAAGTACAGCTTAGTTATACAAGAAATAAAAAGCATTCCAATAAGCATACACAAGTCAAAACCAGGTGTTACTTATAGAAACAGCTACACACTTTTTTTTAAGGAGGAACAAAAAAAAAAATCTTAAGACTACGGTGTGTAATGTTACAACTGCTTGGAAAGTGACCACATGCACAAAAGTATAAGTTGTGTAAAATTTTAAGAGACTTCTTTTAAAGATAGGGATGCAGAATGTTCACGTTTATGTGCACAGTTCACATTAAAAGGGAACATAATCACCACACATGCATGGATTGTTAATAAACCTGCCAAATTTCTCTCTCGTACGAAACTGCACATTTAAAAGTTAGATGATTAATGCATGAATTTCTGTATGTGTTACTAGAAAAAAGTAAAATCAAAACTTTGACAGCCTCTTCCATTTATGAAGTAATGAAATTTTATACAACTATTTATGTAGCGAGATTTTTATGAACAATGGATTCACCAGATGACATCAAGCATCGTCTATGGGCTTTGATATACTACCTCGTAGTCGATAGGAGATAGTTTAGCATTAATATTTATGCCGTTATGCAAGTACAGTAACATATGCAGTGTACAACACTTAACACAGGCACCTACATTTCCTTCAACAGTGTTTACATCTAGAAATAAAATTTAAGGCAGCTAGGTAAAGCCTCACAGTATAGAATTATATTACTAGCACTAGTATATGATGCCAATTACATCTATACATGTGCTTCAGGGTGGAGGAAAGGGGGGCGCCTTAATTAGAGCAGCTAACAGATATGCTAACAGCTGCTCTACTTAAAGTGCTCACAGTGACGTGTATTCAGCATCCTATGCTTCAAAATGGCAATGCAGGCACTTTAACTAAAGCTCTTTAGAGGAGCTTTAGTTAACATCCCCCGCACCATTTTGAAATGCAGGGACACTGAAAACATGCAACACAGAGGCTGCTGAAGCATGCTATTTAAACACACTCCAGCAAACTTGCTCTGACTCATGCTAATTGGTACATGTTGGAGAAGAACTCCATCACATGTATGGATGCCCAGTAACGCTGAATTCAAATATCAGTGAGTATTACTGAAATCTTTTAAGAGCTATTTACACAGATATTAAGTTTTAGGGGCATTTGAGAGAAGTAGATATCATTACATATGCAATTTGATATAGAATCAACATGTTGCTTTACAAAGATGTATAATTAGGTATTTTCATCACTGTAACCTAGGACAGGGTGCTATTACTTCCAAGTTATTAGCTTCTGGCACTAGAAACTGGCAACTAGCTAATGCCATCAATTACCTTGTGCTATTTATACCAAAATTAGGGCATTTATACATATACTTTTTCATTCTGTGATGCACTGATCTCCAGCATGTCAGAACAGACTTGATTAATCAAGCCTGCTCTGCACGTGAGCCGACACACACTACGCTGTGTCGCTTGCAGTTGTACAAGGGGTGACATACGCATCAGCACAGAGAAAATAGCAACAGTGCGCTTTTGAACTAATACATCTTCAATGTTTTTTAGTTTAAAAAGCAGACTGCCACTATTTTCTGAGTGCAGACATGCATTTCACCGCTTTTACAACTGCATGAGTTGCAGCGCAAGGCACTTTTCAGAAGCACCTGGTACTGCAGCACATGCATGTATAAAAGTGCCCCTAAAGTTCACTTGAACCTTGGCTAAGGTTGAAATCTTAGGGAACTCTTAGAGACTTCAATAATGCAATTAAGAATTCAAGATTTGTGAATGAGATAGCTAGCTTAGGTCCCCACAGGATCTCTCAATTAACATTTTTTTAAAATCAACTGAGTGCAGATAAGAAGTGTACTAGTGGTAATAAAGGGTCAGTTGTTGCAATCTATGCACCTTGGGAAGTAAACTCTTTAATCCATTAGAAGTATATTAGCATGTTTCCTTTATCTATACACTTAGAATTTAGTACAAGACATGTTAGAAAGGCCAAGCATTATCAATAACAAGCAGCTCTGTATTAAGATTTAAGAGGGCCTAGTTTCATTCGCATATCAACGCCTCTCATGTTTCATTGTACATATAGCACAAGCTCATAGGATTGGGTTCTAGTAGCTTATTCTACTGATAGGCTCAAAATATCAGATGCTCTGAAAAGATTTTGCCTTGCTTGCAAGAGCTTGCTACGCACCGTATTTTAGAAAGCCAGACTGTTTGTACCATGTTTATGCTATTGTGTTTGCCATTCTAATCTATTGTACATTAAGCAATGTTTTTCTTCAGTGTTGTTACTTAGAAAGCACTACATATTAAAATTTAGGGCCTTTCTTTTTGCTACAAAGTAAGTGAGTTAACTCAGCATCAATATCTAGTAGACTGTAGCCAGGCAAATACTGTAAAGCCAAAGGAAAAAAATAAATAAATAAATAAAAGACTGCTCTTGCTGAAGCCAACTTGTCTCCATGATGATGTTATCCTCATTTTCAGAATGATACCAGCTATTCAAACTCAGCTCTGATCCATCTCTTTATCCTGAAGAAGAACACCGTCTGTCTCTGAGAAGACTGGGCTCAGCCCTTTGCAAATATGGCTGTCATGGATTTCCAGTAAAGAATGGAAAGCGAAATATGAAGGGCCTACAAACCAACTCAGAAATATTGTTTTTCCTCCAAAGACTTTTTACTTGAAGCTGTCAGATACCTACTCCAAGAATCTAAAACAAGATTGTACTTTACTTCATTTTGACTCTAGTTATACAAACAGCTTAAGATCCGAATATATTACCATACTATAGTCCAAAAGGAAGTTGGACTGGTTTAAGAGAACGGGAATTTATTTTCAAAACATTAAGTTTACAAATGCTAGAGCTTCTTTATAACAGGTCTTTGTACGGTATAACATCTCTCTCCTAAAAACATAGATCATTACAACAGCAATGAGATTACAGTGGACAAGCCAAGTACCTCAAATTCAACAACTGCTGCTGCTTTAACTATGGTATAGCATATGCAGTTTGATCATCACTAGATACTCTAGCAGGAACAGCATCTCAAAAGATAGCATACTTGAACAATGCAACATTTTCTTGTGCGATGAAGCGAACATGAAAAGAAACTGTCAGTTCCAGCTACCCATCAGAAAACCTTATTTTTGGCATGCAACACAAGCATAGGTTTCCTTTGGTTCTTCCGATATGAAGAAAGTAAAAAAAAAAGTTTTGAAAATGATGCAGAATTCCTAGCAAGAGGTTCACAAATTTACTTTCCTGAGGCTTTGTCTATATTACAGGAATAGCGGCTGCTTTATCCATGGCAGTAATAAAGGTGGTCAGTAGGGCTGTGCGAAATTTCAACATGTGTTTAGCTTTGAAGCTGTTTTGACACATTTGAGCTTGAAACAGCAAAATCAAAACTAAACAAAAGGCTTCAAAACAGCTTCGAAACTAAATGAGGGTACCTGAAACATTTTGAAAGGTTTTGAAACATTCTGAGTTTCGAAGCAGCCTGGTGGCGGGAGGCAGGGGAGAGGCAGGGATGCACTGAGCGGCTCTGCAGCCCCAGAGCTCAGCCTAGTGGCGGGAGCGCCAGCGGCATTTTCATAATTCCCCATTATAGCACATGGGCGAAACAGTGAAACAAGATGGAACAGTGCTAAGAAACAAAGTGAAATGATGAAACGAAACACTATCCCTTCGAAACAGCAAAACAGAAGTCGAAACAAACCGGTGCCGTTTCGCACAGCCCAAGTGGTCAGGCCCTCCAATGTGGAATGAACTACACTGGCCACACAGAACTGGACAGAAGCTAGGCCAGGAGAAGCCACCCGTAGATGCGATAATCCTTAGCCAACACAGGCAGATTTTTGTAATACAGCAGTGCTAGACTAGTTAACTATATGGGATTATACAAAACCTATTTTTTCTCTTGATTTCAGCAACTGCAACTGGATGTAGGTTGCTGGATTAAACTGATCGGTACTGTAAAGTAAGGCTGTGCGAAATGTCGCTGTTTCATTTCGACTCGTTTTGAGCTCGAAAGAGCGAAATCTAAAACGAAACAACAGGCTCTGAATGCCTCAAAATGAAATGAGGGCAGGTGAAACATTTTGGAAGTTTCAAGTTTCGAAGCTGAAGCTGGGCTTGCCTGCAGCTAAAGAGAAAATAAAGAGAGGGAGGGGGAAGGACTGCTCTGATAGCGGTGTGTGGCTGACCAGTGACTGTGATCCTTCCCTGAGGTCCCTTCCAATCCCAGTGCTCTCAGGGAGGGATGGAAAAATAGAATAAAAGGCAGCATTGTTTGAACTGAGCTTTCTCTGTGCCTTCACACTTACAAGTGACAAGTTTTACTCTGAACAGTTTGAGGTGCAGCTTCCCAGAACCCCCTGCAACTATCTCCCTGAAACTTGGCAGGCTTTATGGCCTCAGAAGGGACTACTATTCCTGCAAGGTTCATCTGAATCGAGCAAGAAATGACAACGTTTTAGGCAGTTTCATGCTTCCCCATTATAGCCTATGGGTGAAATGTTGAAACAGCTTCTACTAAACAAAATGAAACACTGCCCCAATCAAAACGGCCAAATGGAAGTTGAAACAAGACAGTAGGGCTGTGCGAAACAGCACTATAAAGGTATCTAGCTACAAATATTTGCTTATAAAACAAAACCTAGCAGCCACTATAAGAACCATGACTTATGATGCTCTCTGCCATAATCTAAACATCATGGCTATTCTCTTTGCTTTAAAAGCTATGCTCTCTCTCAAAATAGTGACATGGGGATTTCCACCTCACCTCCCCCCCCGCCCTTTATTTCAGACAAGTTTAAGGAAGAAAAGGAAGATTAACTTTCATGCAGAATTGTCCTAACAAATCCAAAAACTGGGGATTGTTCTTTTTAAAAATGTTTCTGAGTTTCAGAATTAAGGAGTGGATATATCAAATTGACTAGCAAATATATCAAGATATGAACATTTTAGGACTTTCAGAAACCGATATTCTGCCCATTATACTGACTTTAAAATGTCAATTATTTGACAAGCAGGCCAGTCTTCAGCACAGACCCTTTAGAAGGTTAGGTTTATGAGAAGTGTCTCAGAACCGACATATCAACTAATATAATATGCAAGTTCAGATTACTCAAGTGCCATGTCATAAGTTTTGGGCACAATTATGGAGGCAGTAAACAAAATGGACTAGTCATTTCACATTCACAAGAGAAAGTTCGCAAATAGCAGGGATCAGTAAGGGACAGAAATCCAGATGTTTGCTAAGTAACCACAATTTCATTAACTTCCATAATAGCATCAGGTTTCCTAGCAGCAAAAAGGAAATTGTGATCCACTTTCACTTAAGTAATGTTCATAATCAAGAGCATCTTATTTACGTTTAAGGCCAGAGCCATTTAGGCTGATGTCCTTTTATTAAAATGAAAGAAGCCATCCACTTTGTATTCATCAGTGTTTGGTGCTACTGGACAAGATAGTGCTGCTCTTCTCTGGTCAGTTTCAAAAGCCTGTGTTAATAATATCTTGTTTAGAAAAAAAACCCAGGTTGTAGGTGCTTAAGACTTCTACAGGGAGAACTGGGGTAATTATTATGAAAATTAAAGCATGTTATGTAGAAAAAGAAAGTGAAAGTGGAAAATGAAAACAAGTTACACAACCTAGGACAATCAAACTATATATTTTGTCTCACCTTGATACATAGCTTGTGCTGCTGTCCAAGCAAAGAGACTTGCAATACCATTAGCTCGGTTAACAACTTCAACTTGATGAGCAAGATTTTTTTTTATTAATTTCTTCCTTGTCAATCGATAAGGAATCAAATGAAATTGTGTGTGTCCGTATTTGCAGGGATCCGCTACCTTTGATCCTAAGGCCACAAAAAGAATGAGAAATACTTAAAAAAAAATAAATAAATAAAAAAAAAAAAAAAGTTATACACACAGATTCAAGGGAAAACATTTTTCTATATTGAAGTGTCTGTACATCATAGATCACAAGTTACTCCAAAACTCTGACTTCCTCTACCTTGTTTCCTCAAGAAAAAAATAAAATAAAATGAATCCCATAACTGTACTCAGGCCAGGGGTTCAGCAACCCTGCTCTAGTGTATTAAGGTCACCTTTAGGTCTTAATAGGTAGAACTGGGATCTCTGTGTGTATATGGTTATGCTACTCTCTACTGACTAGATGTCCTTTAAAAATGCCACCCATGGCCTTATAACACTGACATGCAATTTGTCTTCTGATAGCAAGTAGGCTTTTGGCATAGTAAAGGGTTAAAGCTAGGCTCTAACCCAATTCTGCAGGCATTTGGTTTATTAGGGACTAGCTGTAGTTTCTTTAAAACAAAAGTTGCCTAAATCCTCCCATAACAAAATAGCAAAAAGGAGGGCGGGGGAAAGAGTCATAAGACTCTCAATGACCTAGTAACAAAATTGGCATTTTGAAGATGAAGGTTTAAATGGTTCCTTTCTAAAATCTGATGCATCTAACATTATTTCACCATCACACCTGTTAAGAGTGGGATACAAGAAGCCTTGCCTTTTTTTTTTTCCTTAAAGCATGCCCAGCATTCACAGTACAGTAACAGTGACAACTGACAGCAGATTTACAGTTGGTACTGGTTCTCACAACAGGCCATTTCCTTCCAATGAAATAATTAAAGTGAAATCAGACATACACATGGTAAAAAAAAAAAAAATTCAAATTCTTCACCATGTTTTTACATAGTGGGGGAAAAAAACCAAACTTACCTATAAATACCTTGTTTTCATATTGTCTTTTGAACATTGGAAGTTTGTCTGGTGTGTGCTTAATAACAGGAATTTCTTCAGTGACTAAATGATCCAAAGGTACAAACTTGATAAAAAAAATAAGGAAAAATAATTATTAACAACATAATTAATTGTCTCAGAAAACTGGTACACAACATCAATTTTTGCTTAAAAAGTAAAAGGTATCAGTCTATAAACATACATGCTCACCCACCCCTTTTGCTGAATTTATAATTTTATTTTGTACTGGTGAACAAAACTTTTGCCCTGTTTCAAGAGGAAAAAAATGGGACAAAACGGCACATTTGTCCTAGAGCAGCAGCTCTTCAACTTGGGGAAGACGGTAACTCCACAGACACCCTAATTCCTTTGATGCAATAGTTACCCAACGTGCCTTTAATGAGGAATGGGGCCTACAGTATCTGGACAGTTCTTCTCTCACTATTCTGGGGCCCAGTTACCCTGCACTATGTGAACACTAAACAAGATCTTCCTAGCCCCATTTCATTCATGAGTAAGCTGAGTTTACTCTTGCTTTAGCTCTCCTCAAGGAGAGAAAGGGAGCAGGCAGTTATTATGGAGCAGCTGACATGATTAAGCCTGTCATGCTTACTTGTTAGCAAACAAGCTGTTCTAGTAAGTCTCTTTAGTTAGCAAAAGACTTTACCATGAAACAGCTTAGACGCTGTAACCATTCCTGCACCTTCAATTACTGTGTTGCAATTGCTAAACTGGAAGAGCTTATCCTTAAATGAAACTGGCCTAAATTGCCCCAGTTTGGTTCCCACTAAAGTGTGGAATAATTAAGAGAGCAGACAGTTACATATCTGAGGTGAAGTAAAGTCCCCACCTCCTGTTAATTCTGGGCACACAAACAGCAGCAACTATTGACAGAATCACATGTCTGACTGCAATTAGAATCACAACTGGAAAATGCTGGGGAACCAACATCCACGAGTCTCAGCCTTTTGTTGGAAATACAACTGTTGGGTAAAAAAGGAGCAATTCAATTGCCGTTCTCTGAATAACTGTAGTGCTAACAAGCATTAAGCTCTGGAAATGGATTTCAATTCCAATCAAATAAAAATTAGCATTCCCACATTTGTAAGTGAGGAACAAGGCAGAGCAAAACCACTTGACAGTTATTTTGCATTTGACTTCTAGCCTCATCATAATACAACTCAAAACATAAGATATAAGAATCACAGGTTTCAAAAGTGATTAGTAACTTTGGTCTCTTCAAAAAAATCTCACATTGGACACCCCATCTTGATAATGCTGACTTCCTCCCTGACCTGAAGTGGGTCAAGTGTTGGACAATTATGAGGGGGAGGGCAAAGAAACTAAATAACCAACAAACCAACCAAAACCAGTAGTTACTTTTGAAATTCTTGGTGTGCATTTTATCTCTTTGGCAAACTGCAGAGCAAGCTTGGATACCTCAGCATATTGTTACATTGTACCACCTAGCCACACTCTTAAGAACCTAAAATAGTTTCTCTTTATCCCCAGCCCCCAAGGTTATGATGGATGACTAGCGCAACGAGTCATCCATCTATCTTTTTTCGGGGGAGGGGGGAGAGAAGGGAAGAAAGGGGGAAGGAGGACAGGTAAAAACTTTTTGTTGACTAATATGATTTTGAAAACCTTGTTCTACAAAATAGTTTGCATGTTTCATAAAAACCGTAAGTGCAGGTTAAGCAAAGTTATTGTTAAAAGCTCTCTAGAAGTTTTCTGAAAGACTGGAGCAAAACCACTATACAGAACATTAGCCTTACAGACTTAAAAGTACTGTGAGTGCCACTATTTAAAGTCATTCTTAGACATTTAAGTCATATTTTGCTAGACTTCTTTTCACCCATTACTTATCCATAAGCTGGCTAAACTCACCTCAAACTTTAGAAGAAAAATTCTTCATAGGAAAGATTAAGGCTAACACAGTTAAAAAAAAAATATTCATTTTATAGGATTTATGAAGCTCCACTGTCTACCTCAGGTGTCAAACTCATCTTGCCCTTAGTGCAGGGCTGGCCCACAGGCCAGATCATACCTGTGGACCCCCCCACCCCCATGCCATATCCAGCACACGGCACTTGCTCCAGCCAGTCTGGGATCTGGTGGGAACAGGCCTGGCATCTTGGACACTTGGGTGTTGCCGTGAGAACAAGCCACAGTCTTGGGCTTCTGCCCATACTGCTGCTGGGGCTCCCGCGCCACTGCTCTTACCTGGGTGCTTGGCAGCCAAGCTGGCACTGGAGCTCCAGCAGCACAGCAGCTTCTTCCCACAGCAGCCAAGTGCCTAAGCAAAAACTATAGCTCTGCAATCCCAACAGCGCCATTAGAACAAGCCTGACCATGAACTTTCTTCCTACGATGCCCACAAAGCACCTGCGATACCTAGCTTTTGCCATGGTGCTACTGGGGCTCCAACTCTGAGGCTCTCACAGGCTTGGTTGCCAAGCACCTGGGCAAGAGCAGTAGTACTGGAGTCCCAGAAGTACTGCAGGAAGAGGCGGTCCCCTGGCTGCCACCACAGGAGTAAGACATGGTGCTCCTGGGGTTCCAGCACCATAGGTCTTGCCCAGGCACTTAGCTGCCACTAGGGGAAGGTCCCCCATCAAGACTCTGAATCTGATAACCTGGCCTGTTGGATGCATGTTTGACACCCCTGGTCTAGCTGGTAAGAGCTGCATCTTCTCAACTCCCCAACATATAAATTCAAGTTAGGCTTGAGCCAAACTTGTCTTTACTTAACCCAAACACCGTACCCCTTGGCAAAGCACTTTTTTTTTTTTTTTTTTGTTTCTCATGATTCGATTACCTCATGTGTTCTGTCATGCCTCTACCAATAGCTCCATCTTTTGCTCATTTATATTGCATCCCCATGTCTTTGCGTCTCCTCAGAATTCAAACAGAACTCATTCTTATATCAAGAAAGCACATCCAGAGACTGACACTAACAGCACACATGCATCTCACATGATATCACTGCCACTCACCTATTCCAACTTGTATTCCACAGGTATGAACAAAGCACATGCCCAGGAAGTAGAACAGGGGATCTAGATTATTCCCTGGGAAAAGGGGGAACCTGGGTTCCAGTCCCTGTAACCAGAGTTTTCTAGAGAGCAAGTAAGAAAATTATTCTGCAACCCAGCAATAACAATCCGATTCCTGGTCTGATAGAGAAATATAAAACTTTGCCAGGGGAGAAGGCAGGGGGAAATACAAGTCTCCCCCCTCAATAGTCTATTGACTGCTTTCTTGTATGCTCACCTTTTGATCCCATGAACCTTGTCTTCTTTGCTGCCCAGCAGACAAGGTACAATGGGGACAAGTTAATAGGGTACCCACACCATGCTGGCTTATGCCTTCCTGGCTTATAGAAAAGAAGCAGAACCTCAACTTAGACCTCAGTTAATTGCTAACCCTTTTGCTATTAGGAGAATGGTAGGCAATACCATCCCCACAGCTGGCGTGGAGTAAACATGGAGAGTCAGGCTTTACATTGAAGTTAATGCTATTATCAGTTAGGCATCCTGCATCAAGCTAATGCCATCCTTCTAAGCAAACTGGATACCACCACGATGTAAGCTCCTTCCACACACCGAGGAGGAGTTTGTTCTCAAAGAAAACCCACCCCTAGCCCTACCATTTCCTACAGATCAGTGCTAGGCACTTGCTTCTGAGCCGCTATGCTATCTGGCTGATCCTTGAAGAGCACTTAGGTCCTCTCATTTACTGTATAAAAAACATGGGCATCCAACTTTGCTGACACAGATAATCCTCTCGGGGAGGGGTAGGAAGGGAGATATAGGTACCCATGAAGTCAGCCTGGTTCTGGTCCAATGTCCTCCTCTATGCCTGGAAGCCCCCTGACATGTTGTAATGCCAATATACGAACATAACATAGTTTAACCAAGTTCATTAACAAATATGTTACACATGTTAATGATGCCTTCATATAGAAAGGTAAGGTTTCCCCAGTACACTGTTCCATGAGAAACATTCTGGTTAAGTCAGAAGTAACATTAAGGTTACTTATTTATATTAATGCTATGTTTCTTGAATATTTAAGATGGAGGCACTCTTGAGCTTGGGTCTTCTCCTCCAGTGTCTTTCTATACGGCTCAGTACAACCTAGGATGGGGCCATGCCCAGTACTAAAACAAAAGGAATTTCAAATAACAAATAATAAGAGCATGCCTCCGGAAGCTGCTTTGGCACACGAATCTGAACAACTGGCTTGTCATCTATCTGAAATCGCACTGGATCAACTCTTCCGCTTCGGTGTCCATGACGAATGACCTCTTCCCCTCGCATCCAATAGAAGTTCACCTGTGGCTGCAAGTCTGAAAAGAGGCACACCTTGGTTTTAACCTGCCCCACATGGGCCCTACTGCACTTATGATAAAATACTTACAGTAACATAACTTGGGGGGGAGGGGGGTGAAAGAGGCACAAGCTCTGGGTGCTGACTAGGAGCGGGTGTCACAATTGCCCCCAGGACTCTGCCATGGCAGGTGCAGCCTTGCCCTACCCAACCTTAGGCCCCCCAAGGCAGCTCCCCGCTTAGCAGCACATCTGGAGGGGGCAAGGAAAGGGCAAGCCTTGGAAGAGTAGGCACTGCCCTGCAACCAATAGGCAACTGGAGGGGGGGGGAAGCAAACAGGCACCACAGTCAGCTTCTGAGGAGCCCCACAAGGAAGCTGCTACAGCAGTGGTCCAGGAAGGGAAGTCTCTTCCCTCCCCTGCCTGCAAGGATTACCCCCCCAGTTATCACATCTCCCAAGTGTTGTACAGTAATTTTCAGGGCAACTAACTGATGCAGCATACACAAAACCCAAGTCATGCTTGGGAAGTCAACTACCTTTCGGGCTTGCCACCAGCTCTGCTTGCCTTGAAATAAATAAATGATTCAACTTTGATGGCTCAGTGAGCTCTCCCTCACTGGTGACTTACAGCAAGCAATACAGAGCAAATAAAATGACAGCTTACTTGCATACTTTTCAGTGTGCAATAGTTTTTTCTGCAAATACGATAATTTGGAGCTTCCAATATGATAATTTCAGATTACCTGGCAATGTTTCCCCTCCCCCATGATGCCCCGGGCCTCTGGTCAGGTGCAGCACAGTAGGGCTGTCACAGACATTAGGATTACCATACATCCGGGTTTTCCCAGACACATCCTCTTTTTTGGATCTCTGCGCACTGTCCAGGCAGTTTTTTTAAAAAGCAAGCAAATGTCCAGGTTTGAGCTCTATTTCTGCTTCCCTCCCCCCCCGCCATAACTTGGCAGCCGCTCACAGGTGAGCAAGAGCACGCTTGCATGGGCACACACATGACAACTGCATGGCAGCAGGGCTGGGGGCAGCAGAGGGCTTTGGGTCAGGAATGAGGGACACTGGCAGGGCTGGAGGGGCAAGGGGCTGTGGGTTGGGAGTGAGGGACACTGGCAGGGCTCGGGGCTGTAAGAGACACTAGCAGGGCTGGGGGGTGGGACAGGAGGCTTTGGGTCAGGAATGAGGGGCACTGGCAGGGCTAGGAAGCCAGGGGGCTGTGGGTTGGGAATAAGGGGCACTGGCAGGGCTCAGGGCCGCAAGTAAGGGACACTGGCAGGGCTGTGGGCCAACGACAGGGGGCTGTGAGCCAAGAATAAGGGGCACTAGCAGGGAAGGTGACTGCAAGGGACACCACCAGGGCTGGCAGTGAGTGGCACCACCAAGGTGGGGTATAGTGGGTCAGGAGTGAGAGGCAGTATTAGGGGGGGGGGCGGGAAAGAGGGGAACTGTGGCTTAGGAATGAGGGACAGAGCCAGGATACACCCATTCACCCCTCCCCCTTGTCCTCTCCCTCCCCCCAGGCATCTTTTTTGATACTGAAAACAGGGTGGCCCTAGCAGCTGTACCGCCGGCCCCTACCGAGGGTGGAGGCGGCGAGCAGCGGGTTGTGTAGGGCCAACCGGGCGCTGAGGGAGGCGACGAGCTGCGTGAGGAAAGGCCCGTACAGAGACTGGTGGGGGGGGACGCCGCGCACGGACTCGCGGTGCAGGTAGAAGTGCTCCTGCAGCAGCGCGTCGCAGGCCAGGCCGCGCAGGGCGCCGAGGTCAAGGTCGAGGCCGAGGCCGAGGTCGGCGGGGGCCCAGAGGGCGGGCGGCAGGCCGGGCACGAAGGCGGTCTTGGTGAAGCTCTGGTAGCTGCGGTCGGCGTACAGCGAGAAGGTCTGCGGGTACAGCATGAACTTGCGGCGCTGGCGCTGCTCGTACAACTTCAGCTTCTTCTCGATGGAGTCCGCCTCGTGCAGCAGCTGGTGGAACAGCTCCTGGCGCCGCCGCTGCGCCGCCTTGCTCTTGGCCGTAACGGACGCAACCACGGGCGGGTAGCACGGCCCCAGCCCGGCCTCGGCCGCAGCCGTGGCCGCAGCCGCGGCCGCAGTCGCAGACTCCGCCTGCACCAGCCGGCACAGCTCGGACCACTTTTTGCGGAGCGCCGCCATCTTGTGCTGGCCGCCAGCGGGCCGGCGCCTGCCCTCTAGCACGAGGATTGGCCACTGCGGGTCACGTGAGACACGGCCGGACCAATGCGAAAGAGGCAAGGGGAAGAAGCGGGGCCTCAACTAGAGCCGCTCACCTCCCTTTGACTGCGCATGCTCCGTGTGGGGGGGTTACACGGCGGAACTACACTTCCCGTGATGCCCAGCGCGGGGTGGGGCCTTGCTCCCTGCCCCCGCGTTGGCCGCGTGGCGGGCGCTGCCCTGTCCCTACTGCTGTGATGTTCAGGCGCCGGCTTCCGCAGAGCTGGAGTTCGGCCTCCTTCAGTGCTGTGGCTACCCGCAGGGGGTCTGCCCGGGGGGGAGAGGTGGTCGTGCAGCACAGGTGAGGTCTCTTCCTCATACTCTGATCTTGAAAGAGCAGAATAAAAACGTACAGAGATCTGAGAGTATCACCCATATGGGGAGAGACTACAGAGCCTAGGCCAGTTCAGCTTCCAAAAAGACAGGCTTGAGGGAGAGCATGAACAGACCCAGATACAGGCATGGACAAAGCAGGCGCCTGCCGCAGCCCCGAAAATAAAAAAAAAAATTACAATTGCAAAAAAAGGTTGTAATATAGACAGAACTGGGCAATGTTACCAATTGAGAATGAATTAGTTAAAGATATCAATGCCACAGGCGTGGTAGACTTTTGCAACAAAAAGATCATGATCTCTGGCAAAGCGGGGCCCGGTACATAAAGTTCACCCAGGGCTGCCAGGAGTCTCGGTACGGCACTGTGCATGTATCATGATAATGGCTTACAAAATACTAAATGGCAAAGAGAAAGTTCATTTGGGCTTTGTCACTTACTGTGTCTCACAAGGTAAGAACTAGGGGTCACAAAATTAAGCTAGCAGGTAGGAAGGATACCAAGTTGGGGGAGTGATAGATATGCTGCAGGGTAGGGCTAGGGTTCAGAGACTCAGCAAATTGGAGGATTGGACCAAAAGAAATCTCATGAGGTTCAACAAGAACAAGGGCAGAGTCCTGCAGTCAGGACAGAACAATCCCATGCACCAGTGCTGGCTGGGCAGCAACTCTGTAGAAAGGACCTGGCAGTTGCAGTGGACAAGAAGGTGAATGTGAGCAAATAGTGTGCTCTTGTGAAAAGGCTAAGGGCATACTGGGCTGCATTTGTAGGAGTGTTGCCAGCAGAAGTGATTCTTCTCCTTTATTCAGCCACATCTGGAATACTGGGTCCAATTTTGGGTCCCCCAGTACAGAAAGAATGTAGACAAGTTGGAAAGAGTCCAGTGGAGGGCAATGACAATGGTTAGGCGGCTGTGGAGCATGACTTCTGCGGAGAGGCTGAGGGAATTGGGCTTAGTCTGGAAAAGAGAAGACTGAGCTGGAATTTATTAGCAGCCTTCAACTGTGTGAAGGGTGGTTCCAAAGAAGATGACGCTAGGCTGTTCTCAGAGGTGGCAGATGACAGAACAAGGAGCAGGGGTCTCAAGTTGCAGCATGGGAAGTTTAGGTTAGATATTAGGAAAATTTTTCTCACAAGGAGAGTAGTAAAGCACTGGAACAGGTTGCCCAGAGAGGTTGTGAACTCTCCATCCTTGAAGGTTTTTCAGACCTGGCTAGATGAAGCCTTGGCTGGGATGATCTAGTTGGGGAGGGTCCTGCTTTGAGCAGGAGGTTGGACTAGATGACCTCATGAGGTTCCTTTCAACCCTAATTTTCTAGGATTCTAAGTTTAAAACCAACAAAAGAAAGATGCTTTTTGACTCAGTGTAATTCAAGCGTGGAATTCACTGTTACCAGATGTTGTGGAAGCTGACAGTTTAGTCAAAACAGGATTGGACAAATTTTTAGAGTAAAGGGGCATATTGAGCATGGGAGCTAGGGGGTACAATCTCTGAATTAGAAGTTCCTAGGCCTATAATGCTGGAGGCTGCAAGTGAGAGATGAACCATGGAAAAAACACGTCATTCTCAGTTCACTCTCCCTCTCAGCATCCAGCCTGTGTCATTTTGTGACACAGGAGACTGGGCAAGATGGATCTATGATCTAACCAAGTAAATGGCACTTCTTGGCTAGGGACAGACATTCAAAAAGCCTGAGCCTGAATTAGTTCAGTGTTTGCAGGTTAGTCTAACCTGCAGAGAGTGAACCAATTTGCAAGTGGATAGACATTTGGCACATGCCTGCAGTGGCTCAAGCCAGAAGCCCAGGGGCGCTAGAGCAGCCCTCCTTTCCCCAGGGAAGCTGAGCTGAGGAGGGGTGGGGGGCATGTCCAGGGCCTAGCAGACCTGACCCAGCATCTCCCTGACAGCCAGGAGCAATCCTGACACACAGGGCTGCCCCTCCCCAGCGGGGAACTCTTCCTCCTTCTCCCTCTTAACCGCCACCGTGGGGTGGGGAGGGGGCCTCTGTGAGGCTGCGTTGCCCCAGAGTGGGCTCTTTCCCCTGTTTCTCCCCCAATGCTGTGAGGTGGGGAAGGGGGGTCTATGCCCCCCTCTGCCCAGCCCCAGAGGTGGACTCTTCCCCCTGTTGGGAGGGGAAACAATTAACTCCTAATTAGGGTTGCTCATAAGTGGCTGATTCCTCAGTCTGACTCATAATAGGGGGTGGTCTTTTGGCCCTGGACCCGTTAACAAATAGGACACAACATATCTGTCACTGCCAGCCCACCCGGCAATTAGTCTGAGAGTTGATTGATTAGGACCCACACATGGATAATCAATTAAATGATAATGGTGTATTAAATACACAAATAGCAACAAGAGGTAAGTAATATTGACACTAAACACATTACTCACATGCTCTTATCAATAATACCCTTTACACCTAACTATACTATTCTGTCTATATCTATCTAAGTATAATATATCTATGTATAACTATCTGTCCATTCCTTACACTATTATTATCAAGATACAGAGTGGAGTAAACTTTATTAAGAAAGGGAAGGTGGATCTTTATAAAACTCTGACTGCTGCAGCCTCTGAGATCCTGAGGGCTATCCAACTCACAAGTCCACTCTGAGCTGGCAGTGGCTTACCTTCCACTCCTTAAACAGGGGTCACTTATACTAATACAGAACGGATGGAGAGGAGGGAGGCGGAGCAGGGTGATACTTACAACAATGGGACAAAGGGTTGCTGCAAGTGTAAAACACACCCGGAGGAAGAAAGGTTCTGGGGAGCTGACCCTAATTGCCTCTGCTGTGGAGTCCGCTGAAGGAGAGCAAGATGCTGGAGACCCTCGAGTTACTGGAGTGTTAGACAGCACGCTTCCACGGAGCACCACGCACTCCTTCCAGCTCTTCACCTTCAACCAGCTTAGGCACTAAGGCCCACGCTGACTCCAATTACACCCTCACACTCTCACTATCTCTCAGTCGGACACCATCGGTTAATCTCCACCAAACTCTCAGTCATGCACACATCAAACCCCTACCAGGCAGTCCCACACATGCACCTCAAGCATTCTCAACCCCTCCCCCCGAGCTCCACACACACATACCCTTTTATACAAAATGTGCACATGGCAATCTCTCGTTCTGTGCTCACTACTAAAATGTGCACACAACACTACTTTCAGTTGGCTGGCATCATCTTAGCAGGGGTAAGGTCAACCGCAACTCGCACTGTGACCTACTTAGAGAGTCAGGCTGGGTGCCATGATCTCTCTCTCTCAGACACAGACCTGAATTTTGACAGCAACAGTCCCCTCCTTGATACCTCACATAGATGTATAACGTTGGAGGTATCACCGTGTTAACATGAGGGGCTCGGTTATGGCTTTACATTTTCCGTCAAGGTCACTGTCCCCCAGCATTATGGCAACCGCATGTTAGGTTATGGTGTGGGACAGATGGACATTGATTTGTTGCAAATGGTCTTACATGGGTCTGGTCATTGATGTTATAGAACTTCATGGTACCCTTAACATCAATCCAAAACAAACTGATATACCTATCAGTTTCAACACTGTTATCTATGTAACGCGAGTGGTGCTCCAAGATGTATCCCCTCTCCAATTGAAGGGCTCAGAGCAGGTGCACTAGCTCTGTGCAAGGTGTAGGGACCCTTCTTCCCTATCAAGCAGAGCCAGATCGCCAATGGGGACTTAAACACACTTTTTAATGAGAGAAACTGTGGTGGGAACATAACATATAAACCAGGGGGTATAGGGGACACTATGATACCCCGAGGGGATAGTATTCAATAAAGGTTAGGCATTCACATTTGTAGACATATTCATCTAGCTAACCAAAGACAGGTTTAACAAAATATAAAGCACAAACAACACAACAAACAATACTGATTAACAAAATATAAAATGCACAAAATACAAAACACCATATAATATAGGGCATAGGTACCTGGAGGGGGAAAACCACAGTGACCACCTCCACTCCAACAAGAATTTTTCCTTTGTCATTTCACTCACCCCTATTTGACCCAACCAGAGCTTGAACTCAGGTCTTCTACATGATAGGTAGTAACTCTACCACACAGCTAGGCCTATTTTGGATGGCTAAGGCTTTTGACTGTCTGGAAGCCCCTGCCTCACATCAAGCTGCCCTGCCTCTTGCTGGAGAAACTTGAAGAGAGCTGGGAGCCTCTCGGGTCACTGCACAGCTTTCTGCTGAAGCCAGGCAGGGAACCTCTCCTGCTGTCTTGCTGGGGATCCTGGAGTCCAGCAGGGAGCCTCTCCTGCCAGCCGTGCTGCACTGCCTGTGGGTCCTGCTCCTTTAGGCTCTTCTGGGGCATCTGCTCCCCCTGGCCCAGCTCTTGCCAGCTCTTTGAAACTCCTTCCTCGTTGTCCCTCGCAGGTCTGCTCCGAGTCAGCAGGTGACCCAAGGGGCCAATCAGGGGACATGGAGGGTGAGTTTCTGGGGCCCAGTTGGTGAGGACAGGGAATCCCAAGCCCTCCAATCATCTTTCACCCTGGGCCAAATCACTACCACCTAGCCCGTCACATATGCTTCAAACATTATCAAACATACTCCTAGCACCTTCATCTATTACCACGTTCATTCCGTGCATAGACACA